ATTCAACACTCTTCTCCAGCACCACAGCTCAAAGGCATCAATTCTCTTTCTATCATCCCTATTCACTGTCCAACTCTCTGATGCATAGCATGTAATTGCAAAGACTATAGCCCGGATCAGGCGCACCTTAGTCTCCAGCCTGACACCATTGCTCTTCAGTACTCTTGAGAGATTCCTCACAGCTGACTTTATATATAGTAAATTATATGTAAGCCACCCTCCCAAGCATGATGTCCCTCTCCAAGGACTGATCCAGTCTTGCAACATGTCTAAAGTATATCAGACGAAGCTTCAGAATCCTTGCCTCTAAGGAGCAGACTGGCTTCACCCTCTCCAGGACGAACACTGAATTTTAAAGACAGGCACACCCACCAAATGCTGCTTGACTATAAATCATAGACCTCCAGGCCATAGCTGGTAAGCTTGTAGACAGCAAAAAACAACCAAAGGTTCCACATGAGACCCTCATGGAGACTGCCAGAGTCAAAACAATTCACAAGAGCCTCTCCAAGAGATGTTAAGAATTGAAAAATGGCAAAGAGGAAGACAGCATGCATAATGAGCTACTCTTGATTAGGAAAGAAGAAAATGTACAAATTCACATTTAGTTGGATTTACATGAAGATATTACTAAAGAATCCTCTGATGTATTAGAAAGCTGATGCTAGTGGCAAGAATCTGTGCTGCAACCCCGATAGCACAGAGTTCGAGGCCACCAGCTGCGCCTTGGGAGAAGTATGGGCAATCTCCTCCCGTGTGATTAACTGCTTCTGAAAACCCACTGGATGGTCAGCTGTGGGTTGGTTCCGACTCTATGGTACACAACAACAACAAAAGCTTTTGGAGAGAAGGACAATAAGGAGAATTTTCACCCAAGACCATTTTGTTTTTATTTTTGAACAATGTGATAGGATTACTTTTAAAAATAAACTTTTTAAAATTGAAATAAAGTGTGTTGGTTTCATAGTAAGTTTTAGCCCTACCTCTCTTAACTTACTAGCAGCATAAAAAAAAAATTAAATTCTTTAACTTAGTTTCTTATCTCTAAAATGGTGTAGTAGCAAACTTATTGACAAGGGTCTTAGTACAGTGCCTGCCAGAGTCAA